CGAACAGCGTACGTGACCTGAGCATGCGATTAATTTCTGTTTAAGTGTAAGACTTAATGCCAATGGAGGAGCTTCCCAGGACTGGATTGTAATCAGCAATAGATGTAAACGGACTCAGAGATCTCCCGATGCAGCAGCCGCCATCTCTGGTGATTTGTGGGCCAGCTCCTCACACTCCATAGATGGAAGGGAAGCATCAAGTTTTCAATTGTTTTTAAAGGCTTATGTGCTCAGGCTCATATTTTGCATGCCCCCAGAGTTTTTGCTGCAAGTACGAGGAGAGAATGTGTGGCTGGGACTGGAGCTGGCTCTTGCTTCGATTCGTTACAATTGGCCAATATTCTGGCTTTGTGCTGCTGAACAATGCCGCTGGCTGAAGGCTGAAGTTTTGGCAGGAGAGATTTCTGATTTTAGCGTGCCAAAGCAAGGAGGAGGAGCAGCCAAAGGGAAAGATACGGCCACCAATTCCACTCATATTCCCCCACGGAAAACTCTCTTTCACTCTGTGCCTTTTCCTCTTTGCCTCGCGTCTGTGTTGCTCTCTCTCTGTGTGTGTGTGTGTGTGTGTGTTGGGGCGCACAAGACCGGAAATGAAAGTTCTGCCAATTGAATTATGGATATAAAATTGCGCTTGACTTTCGCCGCTCAGCAAGTCCAACGAGGATGGGTCTTCAATTTGTGTTCTTTTGATTGTTTTGCGCTTGATTGCACCTCAGAGAGAGCCAGATAGAGAGCGAGAAGAGTGGTCCACTCCACTACAGCAAGAAAGTTCAAGTAACGATCCTTTCCTAGACCTAAATGTCAACACTATGCCATTGAAAATTTCACAATTATTCAAACACTATCCCCCCAAATTGCTGTAGTTAGACAATTTTCTTGCAACATTCAGAATGCCCCCCGGCAAAAGCAAGAAACCACTTTTGAAGCGGCATGCGGCAGGCCCAGCTTTTAAGCTGCCGAGCATCAGTGGCAGAAGTAGCTTCGCCTTTACGTATCAACCGCCAAAGAAGACATTGGGAGTGCTTAGCTTTGGCCACATATTGACAGCGGTGAGTGCTAAAGGGGTCTACAGACAAAGGATATACAGAAGTTCTATGAAAAGGGAATGAATTCTACACCTACTTTTCTTTCCATCTCCCATATTTTCGCACAGGCACATAAGCAGCGTTAGGAACAAGCTCATACATGGATTGTTATCTTAGCTATATTTGTGGGCCAATCTGAGACCCGATTTCTATTTAAATCACATTATTCTTGATCACTATCTTCGGAGGAAATCTCCTGTGCTTTCTCCTCTCCCTGATTGTCATCGTCTGCAGCTGCCGCTGCAGCTTCATCCTCGCTATCGCCCGATTCCATGGGATTTGCTTTAAGGCGTGCCATCAGCTCCTTGGCAGGATTGAAAATGCCATTCGTCTGCTGCGAACAAATGATGCAGCGTTGCGACTTTTTGTACTGCGCCAGGGCACACTTTTCACAGAAATAATGTTTGCATCTGCAAAAAAGAAAAGGAAATATCAAAACCCGCCTGAAATAGCTTAGGGAATTCCCTCACTTGGTCACCACGGGGTTGGTAAAGCTCTGGCGGCATATGTGGCACTTGAAAGGCAGCGATTCCTCGTCCGAGTGAATCTCGTACTTGCCATCGTCGCCATCCGATTCACAGTCGCCGCGACGCTGCGCCTCGTGATCGGCTTCCAGCTGCCAGCCTGCCTTGTAGTCGCTGCGATCGTGCAGGAACTTGCAGCTGTCACCAAAGCCACAGTAGCCCGTCTCCTTGTAGTCCTTGCAGATATCCGGCTGGTAGTCCCAGCGCACGGTGGCTCGAAGGTGAGCCGGCGCCCGAATGGGTCCGCTGCGCACCATTCCAGAGCTGGCATTACCCGCCGCCGTGTCCTGCTTCTTGTAGTACTGCGCATAGTTGTTGATGCCGCGATAGATCTTGTCGTCGGCCTTGCCCTCCAGTTCCTCATTGATCTTCAGCGCCCGGGCATGTATCGCCTGAGCGTCGCGATCCAGTTCCGTGTCCATTTCGTTGACTGAAGTGGCACCCTGGTCCTGGGGGCCACTGGGCAACGCCTCTCGTTTCGATTTGTATGCCACGCCCAGTCCATCATCTTCGGATTTTCCATCGCTGGATGTGGCCTCTGTGGCTCCCGCCTGTCGCTTGGCTTTGCTCACCGTCTTGGTGCTCTGAAAGTTTGGATTTGTTCGTTTGCGTCGGTTCTCGGCTCGCACAAGAGCACTGGCCTTGTTCTGGGCCTCCTCGTCGCTGCTTTTCGCTATTTTTCGGAAGATTATTGCAATTGTTTAATTATTTCGTGTTTGGCGGTGAGCCGGCACCTACCTGAATCATTGCTGCTGCTGCTCTCCTTCTTGCGGCGCATGGAAGCTCCTCTGTTGATGTTTCGCTTCTTGAACCCAAAGGCTGAGGTGGTGGGCGCTTCCTCCGACATCCTATGTCCTTAAAAGTGTTTGTTTTGTTTAAAAATTGGTTTTTATAACAAATACAATGTTTTGGTGGCAAAGTCGGCAGCAGTGTGACCACGGATTTATCGATCAAATATACCGCAATCTCAGAAATATACCTTCTTATTAAAAAAAAATACCGGAAATGTTTCCTGGATTTCGATGTTCTATTTAGAATTACTGGCTAATTAGAATTCTCAAAGCTAAAACTATGGTTTAATCACATTTATCAATCAGTTCTGCCCAAGACCGGCTGGTTTTCATTACTTTCTTTAATTGGAATGTTTCCAATGTTGTTAAATTGAAACGTTTTATGCTATTTTTTTTTGGTTGACCTTTTTAGTATGGCTTGTTTTGTGCCTTTGAATACCATATATTCCTTAATAATTAACATTCAATATATAATGTTACGACTGCGCTAACGGGCACATGTTACATGAACTTTTTGCCATTGATAGTTCCGTTCTAGTTCAACCAAACTTACTTTTCGTCGTCAGATGTCTCTGCTGATAATTACATAACTACGTAGTTGATATTTCGTAAAAATGTAGTTTACATTTACAAAACATATACCATCCATGTTTACCTTACATTCCATTCCCACTTATGTATTTTACCGTTGGCAACATAATTTGTATGGGCCAAAAACATGTTGCGAACAAAAATCAGCACTGTTTCCCAACATTTGGAACGGAATAAGCAACATTTAGTACCCTTGAAGGAATGAATATCCTCGAATTGAGGAAATTTTAAAAATCTCTGGATTCAATCAATGCAAAAACAAACTAATCTGTTTGTTAATACCGTGAATGTATTTAGAGCGGTATAAAGTACATATGTACATATATACATAGATATCTTATAAAAAGGTTAAAAGCATGTCCATTGTTAATATTAAAAGGCAGCTGGTAAGATGGAATTTTAATATTATATATAGAAAATAGGGTACACAACTGCTAACTCACTCAACTCATGCAATCGGTTGGCCAGCAAAAAAATGTCTAATGACGTAAGATTCCATTCCCACCCACGTAACATTAAATGCTTTTTTTTTTTGGTTGACCTTTTTAGTTTTAACCTTATTTTGCAATCAATCCAACACAGATAAGTCATGAAAATTAACCAAACTTGTGGTTAATCGAATGATGACTCGAGTAAAATGGCATTTTTAAAGCTGAGAGTCCCAACCAGCTGGTAATATTAAACAGAAGATCAAAGTCGAGGAAAATGATTTAACATTTACGGTATATTTACAGTATATTTGGAAAATGAAAGGGTATATTTCCGAAGGTCTGTCGTTATATTTCATCAGTAATTTCGCGGTCACACTGAACAACACGTAAATTTTATATTTTCGCTGAATTAACGTAATTATATGTACTAAATTGTGTCTATTACTTGCAGAACATGGTGCTCGAACTAATTTCCAGTGCAAAATGCTTCGAGGGCGAGCAGCGCGTGTACCAGCACAGCTCCAGGACGCTGAACTGCGACATGACCTTTGGAGTCTTTGTGCCGGCTGCTGCCCTTGAAGATAAGACGCCCTGCCCGGTGCTGTTCTTCCTGAGCGGCCTCACCTGCACGCACGAGAACTTTATACAGAAGAGCGGCTTCCAACAGTACGCCGCAAAGCACGGTCTCATCGTGGTTAATCCAGACACATCGCCACGTGGCGTCGATCTGCCTGGACAGGATGATGCTTACGATTTTGGCAGCGGTGCCGGTTTCTATGTGGATGCCAAGCAGGAGCCCTGGTCGAAGCACTACAAGATGTACAGCTATGTAACCGAGGAACTGGTCGAGCTGGTCAATGCCAATCTGCCAGTGGCGGCCGGAAGGCGCGGCATCTTTGGCCACAGCATGGGCGGACACGGAGCCTTGATCTGCGCCCTGAAGAACCCCGGCCTCTACAAATCTGTGTCTGCATTTGCACCCATTGCCAATCCCTCAGAGGGTGCATGGGGCAAAAAGGCGCTCACCGGCTACATTGGCGACAACACTGCCGACTGGGACCAGTGGGATGCCACCCGTCTGGTCTCCCAGTACGAGAGCACGCCCCAAGAGCTGTTCATCGATCAGGGTCTGGCGGATAACTTCCTTGCCGCCAAGCAGCTGCTGCCGGAGAACCTACTGGCCGCCGCCGACACCAACGAGCACATCCAGACGATCTATAAGCAACGCGAGGGCTACGATCATGGGTACTTCTATATATCCACTTTTGTGGGCGAGCACATTGCCTACCATGCCAATCTGTTGAAGGCAACCAAAGTTTAAGAATTAAATTCTGTGTAAAAACCCCAATCCAATCCAATTAATGATTTCTGCACAGCATTTTGGCGCCGCACGAAGCCAGCCAGCCAGCCACTCGGTTTGTGTGGGTGGGGTGGTGGTAAAAGCTCGCGGCGTAGTAAAAGCTCTCCCAACTGTTCGCATCTTCCGCTGACAATGCAAAGTGGTTTGGCATCCTTCGCTTTCATGTTCATTCATCAGAACCCACGCTGGGGCCACAGTTAGTACAACAAATACAGTCGGCCAGAGCAGACGCACGCAACGAACGCGAGAGATTCATCCCGAGTGTGCTGCTGTGGACGACATCGTATCTCCGTTTGGCGCCATATTTACTTGGACCAATCCTGAGTCCCTTAACGCAGTGCTGTGCGTGTGTTTGTTTGTGTAATTTCGCGCGCTTTTGTGTCGCCTGGCGGCTGCTGTGGCTGTGGCAGTGCGCGAGTGTGCGTACGGGTCAGAAAATTACTGAAATTGAAACTGGAGCCCCAGAGCCCGACACCCACCAAAAAAGGATATTTAAAAGGCGTGAGATTTGCGGCCAACTGCAAAGCTGGACAACTGCCAGTCAACTGAGATAGATCTTAATTAGGCTTTTACTGGCAGTTGGCAGACAACAATAGCTGGCAACTGGCTGCCGGGGTAAGCGTTCAGCCATATGGCCGATATAAATCAATTATAGACACACCTTTGGTAGGTCCTGCACAGCACTCTCCGGTGTGGTTGGCCCTCTGCTCGACGCCATTAGATTCCTTTAAGGGACTTTAGTGGGACAGGGAGTGGAAGGATGGGTTGTTGTACGTTGTTTATGGCCACCGTTTTACTGCATGCTGAAATTTTATACCTCCATCAGCACTTCATTTTTCACAGTTCAGAGTCAAGTTCGCGCATCACCAGCAAGCCAGCCAGCCAACCCGATAACAATCCATCAACATCTGCGCTGGAGTTGCGTCAATTCCTTTACCGTAACCCAAAAAAACGTTCACAAAATGTTAAATTTTAAAGTATTTAAGCCGTGTTTTTAGCGCCCTTAATTTGCATATTATGATTTAGCTATTGAATCTACCATTTCTATTATGAAATGGGACTTTGAAAAGTGCCTGTGGGAAGGGCCTTGTCCGTCTTCTAGGAATTGTTGTTTCAGTTTTTATTAATGGTCTTTTATTACACTTTTAATTGTGCGCATTCTCCTTTAAGCTGCTTTAGGATGTGGGTTTATGTCGTGGAGTCTTGTTACTCGAAGCTTCAATGAAACGTAAAATTATATTTGGAAGTAGCAACTTAATGGGACAGATGCCATGGCAGCCAGACAGTACGGCTACACTTTAGTGGGTCTGATGATATTAAACGGCAATGAACAAATGATAAAAGCTAGAATGATGTTGCTGAAGCGATTGAGAATCGTTTGAGCACGGCAATCACAAGGTTCTTAAGCAATTTTGGCTTTAAATCGTTCATAAATAATTGGTATTATTTAAAAAAGTAGGAGGCAATGTTCAAAGAATATTTATCGTCTTTGCACTAGTAATCACACGATATTTATTTACATACCCCAACACCTTGTTCTCAAAAAAAAGTAATACTTATATTTTTTGGAAACATTCCAAATACCTTTCGCTCTTTTAAACTTTGTGTTAACTCCTTAAACTTCCCACCCAGAGTAAGTACATTAACTGCAATTTGCTGTGGACTATTGGCCCAAGTTTTCGGCTCTCTTATTTTTGCAAGGTTTTGCATTATGATGTACTCTGATGACAAAACTCGAACTCCAATGTTGTCAGTTCTAACGATGAAGTCTGGCTTAATTTACAAACTAGACGCTGCGACTTGTGTCCATTTAATCAGTATCGAGTTGCAACAGGGCTTTGACGCCAGTTTGGGAATTCACTTCGATGGCAGTGTCATTGTAGAGGCTTCAGTTAGTGCTCAAAATAGCCATGAATCCTTAGACACTCTTTTATGGGGGAACGATTGCATTGCCCTGAAAAGCGAATCATATGCGACGGCCGATGTAATCGGCTACATCGATGGGCACTTCTACGGCGTGGCTGGCCAAGAGTTTATGCCGCTGGAGGACGTTTTTCAAGAAATCCACAAGCCAGATAATTAGTTGTTAGGTAGTTCTGGCAGACGGAAATCGCCGAGGAAATCCACAGAAATATTTGAGACGATAAACAGGGAGCACGACTCTCGGTTTGGATTTAAAAAATAGATTTATAAAATAAAAGCCCTGGAAAATAAATACATTTATCAGGGAATATTTGCAGATGTCTACCTATATTTATAAATATTTCTCATAATCATCAAACATATATGTAATTATGTATATCCAAAGCTCGTTTCAGTCTGTTCGATTTAACTATGCAGCTGCAATGACGTTTTATCATAATTGAATCAACCCAGTTAGCCATTTTCAAATTTGCATTATGGAGCATCTCTCCCCCCAGGACAATCTCTCAATTTTCCTGTTTTGTTGCTACAAAATACGCTTTCAATTACGAAATTCATATCTTAATCTTTTATTAGCATCTAGCAGTGCAGTTTGCTGGTTGTGGAGCTGAGGAAATGTTTCCATTCAAACTAGAACACGTTTTTGCAATATTTAATAGAACAGACTTGAGCAGTATTTCCATTTATCTACTCCTACCGTTGGCAAGGGCAAAAGCAGAGCCAGAGAGCTAGTCGCCCTCGTAGGAGTATATTTTTTTTGCAATTTTCTGCTAGGAGCTTAAGTGAAATCCGGTTAGGACTGAAGTGCAACGAGGAGAGAAACATTCAACCTTAAAGCACAGGCTGTGCCCCACACACTTGGGCAATTAAAAACAAAAATATATTCAAGAGTGTATTCCATTTCCCCAGTCTAATTAAAGGTAAGCCGCTTGCGCGAATCCCTCTGGGATCACAGAACCGACGCTCGAAGCAAATAAATACAAGTTTATGCTGCAGAAACTAATTTAGTTAAGCCATTGATATCACATTGGGGAAATGGGGGGATGAAAATCAATAAAAGAAAATGAGCGAAAAAAAGAGGTTGAAGCATTCATTCATTCCTTCATCAATGGTTGCTTATTTGGACAACTATTTCAAGTTGCAGAAGAATAAATAGAGAAGGGGATGCAGATGCAATTGGCACGGCGATTTTTGGGGGAGCTTGGACGTGACCCAAGAAATGTTTGAAATAAGTTTCCGAGTCCTCTGAAGACTTTTGCAGTTTGGAGTTTGATTGCTGTTGTTCGCAAGCAAATCAATCAATTGAAATAAAACGGAAGGGAAATGCAAAAGATTCTCCTCTCAACTAGAACTTTAATGTAAGCACAGTCTGTCCCACAAATAGCTGAATATTTCATGCATAATAATGAACTGCTCAAAATAGTTTGAAAACTAAACCCCAAACGGATGCCATGATTCAACGATTCAAACGCCTTTTAAGCTGGAAGCAAAATGTGACCCTGTATGGCATATCCATAGCCCTTCCATGCAATACCCAGAGGAATCAATTTCAATTTATTTACTTGTATTCTGTGCAAATAAATAAGTAACCCTAAAAAAGCATGCATGAAAGTGGCAGCAGCCACATGTTTTCCTCGAGGGAGAGGACACACTCGCTCTCACTGTGTAAAAACAAAAGCATCCATTAGCACATCAATTAAGGAACCTTATGGCATACGTACATACCACCAGGTTATACATATAGAAGGGCAAATACGAGAGTTCAGCACACGTCTGCACTGTTACACGTACTTTTGCCATATAACGTACTTGAATGCACACGCAGAAAACTGAAGAACGAATCGGTTTGGCATTCGCATTTTCTCATTTTCCATTTCCCATGCCCAGCGCGTGCTGCTCTGACCTGACTGACAATTAGGCCAATCACGGGGAATCACTTGTCAAGACAACACACCAAATCGACACATGCATATGCACAAAATGATGTATTCCTCTTTTCTGCAAGCTAACTGAAGTAGGGTCCATGGGACACTAGGATCCTTGGGTGGAGACAGGCACGCAAATTCAACGTAAAATGTGCGCCATCCAAATAATTTAGACAATGGCACTCGTGCGCACACGCCATGCCCAGGAAACGGGATGTGGCAGAGACACACACACACACACACACTCAGACACTCTCAATCAAAAACACACACAACAACACTCCAACTCAACTCAACTCAACACAGAGGCAGAGACAGAGACAATACGCAGGAGGCGACAATTTTAGTGCTATTTTCGGGCATCACTTGGCTTTACAGCAGGCCACACACACGCGGCACGGAACTCGGTGGCGGGACCTCTATTGGGACGCCTGATATGGAAGCCATCACTCGAGCTGCCTCGCTGTCCCTGCTGGCCCTTACTTGTGCTTGCACTGAGCGAAAGAAAACTAAAACTAGAAGAAAGTCTTAAGCCGGCTTGAGGTTTTTTGTGTGCCTTCTAAAAATATTTACAAATGTTTCTGCAGCGTACTTAGACTTGAAGTTGCTCGGAGTATTAGCTGATAATAAAGATTAAATTTCTCAGTGCATTATCTCGTGTGTATCTGCTGTCCGAACATATGTTCTCACTTAGTCTGGGGCTCGTCCTCGGCCCCCACTTCACTACAGGCGACAGACGAGAGCAGCACAATGGGAAAACAAACAGGAAAAGCGAAGAAAAAACTTTTATTTGGTATAGGTTTGTTGGGGGTTTTCCAGCAGCAACACAAAACAAAAAACTGGAAGTGCGCTTTGAAGGTGTAATTGAGTTTGAGCTGAAAGTACGTGCAAGAAATCACAAAAAAACATCACCCGCATGATTGTGATCCACTAGAAACTTTGAGCCCATAATCGAGTTGAATGCCATGCAGCCCCAAGTCACTGCCTGAATGGTTACCCACAAAATGGATCTGCATGTATGCACTTTCATTTGCATAACTTTACGCACACATAACATATTGTTTATGCCACATGGAGTGGAGGAAGGTAAACGTGCCGTAACCTGTGCGCGGAAGCTAATAAATTGTATCGCAAAAGTTTATTTTCCTGATCCGCAAAGTTTTTCGCTCACGCATCCATAGATTGTTGTCGGGTGACTGATGGAGATTTTTGTGGCCGTTCTTATGTACATAGTTGTCAAGCTATTAGACAAAAACCACTAAAGTTGTGGCTGTTGATGGATGTGGCAAATAAATAGAGAAAGTTTGAAAAGGTTCCAGCTTATCTGTGGCATTGAATTAATTTTTAATTAAAATTCAAGATGGAATTCACTGGCAAACTGCTTAAGAATAAATCACGCAATGAAAATCAATTTCAATTCAATTTATATTCATAGAAAATCAAGTTAATTCCGCTTAAATCCATTGCAAAACATTTCCTTGGTTCGAGCCACCTCGTACAACCATTAAAACAAAAGCTCAGATTTCTGTGGAAATTTATCGTCTGCAAATTGCGTTTCTTCTCATTTACGGAAAGCAAATACCGAAGCTAATTAAACGCATACCAGGAGATGCTCAACCCTCCAGTCGACTACAGAAATGCATCGAGCATAAACGCGCACAGGACTCACCTCTGACGGGGCAACTTGAAGGAATTGGCAATGCAATTCCCAAATTGCGTTTACTAAGCCTTGCCAGTGTCGACTCTCTGGGCCTGTGGGTTGTGCAACAATTTATATATGCCACGAGGCCATGGTTACGCCTCCACCCACACACACTGTACGTGCAGGGACGGAGTGCACCTTTTCCCGCTAAAGCTTCTTACGCTAATTGCACTAAATGAACACAATTTATTGTGGCCAAGATAGTGAGCAGTGCATGAAGCAACAAATAACCCAATAGACTGCTCCATCTTCCACTCATACTCCTTGCTGCTCCTCCCATTTGCTGCTCCTGCTGGCGACATGCTGCAAGTGGCAGCCATTTGGTTAATATTAAATAAGTACATGCATATTAATTATATGCATAATTACACGACCAGGCGCGTTGGGTGTTTTGCCATAATTAAAACGGGCTCTGACACTGCGTATACGTAACGTGACTCAGGCACAAGTTTGGGGTGTTCCCAGGAGAGGTGTTTCCCTTTTGAAACGTGGCAAATTAATCTAATTTTGGGGAGAACATTAAAAGCAAACGAGAGTGCTAATAAAATGCTTTTTGAAGTCCTTTGTTGGAAGTCTTTTAGGCTTTTGCTTTGGAGGTTTAGGAACATTTCTTGGCAGATTCAAACTATACTTTAATACATCCCCAAATGATTACATTCCCTTCTGGCTTACTTCATTTAGCGTTTCCCAAATCCAGAACATCCTTCAGCACTTCCTCACGGGTTTTTTGTACCCCCCTGGCATGTGTGTGCGATGGGGATTTCTGATTTCTGCTTCAGACTCAAGTTGATTATGCTTCTGACAGAGTCATTAACAATTTGTGGCTCTGGGATTTGCTCAGATTTGATATGCATTCCTTTATATCCTCTCTCTTTATTTTCCGGCAGGAGCCGGACGTAGCAGCAGGCGGAACTTGAGGCACCAGAAACAGCACAGACAACAGCAACTGTGGCACAGCCGCAAGCCGATCAGCAGCTCATTCAACGGTTGAGTGTTTTATGGTGCTAGAGAGCAGCAATAAGGACAGCGGAATAACCTTAGCAACCATCTCGAGCAGCCTGGAGGCAGGAAATATCATACACGAGGCGTAAGGAACAAAGCCATTCACCAAAATGGCTGGCGGGGGTAGAACAGCCGGGAAGTACGGTTACTCGGACAACAGTTATTACAGTAGTAAGTGCCCAAAGATAACCCTGATGCAAATCTACAACAATAAATATTATTTTGCAATGCATAAGGGATAAGCCTTATTATTAATACTTTTATTATTCGTTTATTCGCATGTTGCTTGCTCTTTATTTTCCCCCTTTAACCACTGTTCATCCGGTATACAGTCGCCTTGCTTCATTGGGATTACACTCGAAGAAAGAACTTTCATTTGGAGTCAAGAGTTTCACTTGAAATGTTTGCTGGGTTCAAGGACAGCTTTCGTTTTGGCTTTGCTGCATGCGAAATCTAACGCTTTTGAATTTCTTTATGCGAAACTGCTTTTGTCCTCCTCAAACATTTTTGAATGCATTCACGACTGGCAACTGGTAGCCAAATTTTGCCCATTTTTGATTCTTTTCATTCTCTTTATGTTGATTTTCTTGATTTTCGCAGTGTGTGAGCCAAAAGCGGCTGGTAGCTCATTGTCTGCCTCGTCGCCCATTTGGCGCGGCTTATGTGTGCCCCACTGGCGTCAACTTGACGTCCCCTTGTCACTCCTCACTCCTCACTCCTCACTCTCAGCACATTTCTTCTTGATGAAGTCCTGCCGCATGCCATACCGTAATCAGTGTTGCACAGCGTTCTATTTTTTCTTGTATTTATTTATTTGCACTCGCATATTCAAAGCTCATTCTTGCCACAGTCTGTCTGTGTCTCGCTTCCTTTTTTTATTACATTTATTTCCTTGCGTTGCGTTGCGTTGTTCATTCACATGAATACACGTGGGATGGGCATTTATTTCCTTTATGTGGAGTGTGCGTGTGTAGATGATTTGTTTATGCGTATGTCAGCTGAGGATTTTTGTGTTACTTTTATGGCACAAGCCTCCCACCAGCATACAATACACGGCATACACGTTCTGTATTATCATTCACGCCTGAATGCCATTTTCTGGCAAATCATTCACACACCACCCAACGAAATGTGAATTAAGTTTCTCGAGCAGTGAAAGCAGCTTAGTCCTGTCCTTCTCCTTCACCTGTACCCCAATTATCCGCATTTTAGCAGCGTGAATGATTTCCATTCGGTGGCCACAGCCCAATGTTTGACTTCTTGCTGTGTTTGCATAAACTTTTTCTTGTTTCCTGTTTCCCCTCGAAATTTGGCCTAAGTAGGTCTGAATGCGCTCTTCGTGAGCACACGCCCACCCGCAGGCGACGGCACTCCACCAACAGCACTCCTCCCAGCAGCAGCTTATAGGAAGCTTTGAATAAGTTTATCATAGTTTTTGATTGCCACAAATTGTGCGGCGTTATTTATGAGCTTGCTCTCGCTCGTTCGCTGTGTAATCTATATCATTGTGGTAAGAATATTCCACAGCCAGCAACAGGAACAGGACCGACCACAACCACGACCACCTGCTGTGGTGGCTGCATGTATTTGTGTGTGTGTGGCTTTGCCCACAGTGTTGGTAAATGGCATAAAATAAGCATTAAATAAGTTGTCATCGTGGATATACTACATGTCCCTGGGATACACTTCTTCCTCCTGGCTGCGCTTTTGTCCCTGGATAAATCTAATTGAAAATAAATATTTATGACTTGATTGTTATTGCTGATATTAACGAGTGTTTCGTATACATTTATTATATGAACATTCAGAGGGGCTTACACATGTATTGGATTGTATTTAGTTTGGATTGTGTGTGTGTGGGGAGCGAGACTTATTTGATTTTTTGGCATATATTTGTTCAACAAGCAGAGGGGCCACAGAACCAACGAATATATAAGATATCCTTAGTGGATTTGGGTTTGTTTTTTGCCTTTAAGTGTATATGAAATGAGCCAACGAAGAGGTTCATCGTAGTGGCTGTGTCTGCGAAATAAATATGAAATATATTTATTTACGATTTCTTTGCCCAATCGGGGAACTTTGAGGTCTCTGGGAAGATGACTTTGCCCCACTGACTGTTCAGCATGAGGATCACAAAGGCCCAAACAGTCGGCAAAATGCCGGCCACTGCCAGATACTTGGTCTTGATGCCAGCATAGCCAGAGATGATGGCATTGGGCGGAGTGCTCACTGGCAGATGGTAGGCCATGCTGATGGCCAGAGATGGCGGCAAAGTCAGCTTCAGGGGATGCATCTTAATGGCCAGAGCCATTTCGCTAAAGATCGGTATGAGTATGTTGCAAATGGCCACATTCGAGCTGAAGGCGGTGCAGAATAAGCCAATGAAAATGCACATGCCCTCGACGAGGATATTGGGCATCTTGGAGGCAAAGCCCAGCGAGTCGCCCAGCATCTTGGCCATGCCACTGACCTTGCTGCCCTCGGCCAGAGCAAATCCACCGCCTACCCAAAGAGCTAATATGTAACGAAGGATAAGGCTAGTAGGCTTGCCACATACCCAACAGGAAACATAAGCCCCAGGGTGTATTCTTGTGTATGTAGACCCAGGAGAGCAGAGCATCCATGCTTTGACCCGTGAAAGGCGCTGCTTGGAAGAGACTTTTAAGGGATTAAGAAATATTTAAGACAGCTAGCAGATGGACTCACGATTGCCACAACAATACTTGAAGAACTTATACTGCGTGGGCAGTGCGAAAAGCATTATGACGGGCAGCCACACCGGAGGGCCACTGCCTATTTTTCTAATGGAAATAGAAACAATAGATTAAAAACAGCTTAAACCCTTGCCCCACAATTACTTACTGTGCATTGAGGAAATCCCCCCAGCCAGGCACAAAGCCCGGCTTGCGTGTGAAGAGAAGAACTACCATCAGGATGAAGAGCAGAGTCACTTGTATCTCATGACATGTCATGGGTCCGAGCTCCGCGTGGCGTGCCTTGATCACAGTCTTCACCACATCCTGGCCCATGCTGCCGCGCTTCACCTCTTGGCCCGTCACGCTCTTCCCACGGAACAGACCCATGTGTGTGAATTGCAGTGAAAAATATAGCAGTAGAACATTCACAATGACCACAAGGGGCACGGCATAGGCCATGAAAATGGGAAAATCAATGCTAGTCGCCGATTTGGGAAAACGTCTGCGAGTAGGAATCATTGGGACATTGGGACATTGATGTGGGAGCAACCATTGGGGAGACATTGCTTACGTGTCGTAGAGACCCTTGAAGGTTAGATTTGTGCCAGTGCCAATCAGTGTGCCACAGCCGCCAATTGTCGAGGCATAGGCAATGCCAAAGTAGAAGGCCATCGATATGGTGGATGGATGTGGCGGATCGCCCTCTTCCATGGGTTCCTCCTCTTGCGTTTTGAACACGGTGAATATATTTTGCTAGGCATCACAAAGGAGTCACATGAATACATTTATTTATGACAAAATATTTCTACTTTTGCTTACCGAATGGAGCTCGTTGAGCACAGCCTTCACAATGGGACACATCATGGCGGTGGCAGCCGAATTGGAGATCCACAAGGATATGAAACATGTGACCATAACCAAGCCAAAGTGCAGACTAACGAGAGGAGTGCTAGATCCTGCTTAAGGATATTCTATTCACTACTTACCGCCGCGGACTGCAGCCCACAATGAGTATAGTCTTCATGGCAATGCGCTGATGCAGATTGCTATACTCGATGGCCAAGGCTATGATCAAGCCACCAATAAACATGACCACTGTATCGGAAAAGTACAGTTTGCACACTCTCTCGGAACTCTGCATAAAAGGAACAAGTCATCAGGTATTAAAGCCGCACAGATACCCTTCCAACACTCACCAAAATATCAAAGAGTGGCAAGAAAACCACAGGAAAGAGCGAAGTCAAGTAGAGCGGAATCGCTTCAGTGATCCAAAAGAGTGCCATATTGCACACCAGATACATGCATCTAAAAGCCTACAAGTAACATCCTCTAAGCGGTTATTCTTCATCCTACCTACCAGACTTACTGGTTCTTTCTCCAAAATTCCATGGATCAACAATGGCAAAGTGAGCAATGGCATGAGAAGTGACGCCTTGCCCCGCCAATGGAAGCTGCAGCATTTTCCCAAGCTCTGTTTAGCTGGTATTTTCTCATTTTCTCCTGGTCTGCTCAATGAATGGTTTGTTAAGGAAGAAAATACACTTAATGGCAGGAAAGTACTTACTCTGCCATTTTGGCTACGCTTCAAGTTTTGTTTGTCAGTTTTGCTAGCACACGTCTGGTGCTGTTAGTATTTTACAATGATTTATTTAGACTGTTTGAAAGGTGAAACTTGTATGACATTACCATGGCATGCTGAGCAGTTCCGGGCCGGACAGCAGCTGAAACAGAGCAACAGTGTAACAGCCCTGTTAACGGTTTGCTTTGACAGTCTGCGGGAGCACTGTGAGTGCTCTGCTTTAACAGTCTGTTAACGTTCTGCTTTTACAGTGTTTGGCCGCGCTTAAGCGCTTAAGAGCTCTGCTTTAACAGCCTTTAAGAACTGTTCCTTAACAGCTTGAAGCCGTAGTGAAGCGTCCCTCTGCTTTAACAGACTGTTAGCGATCTCGTTGACAGCTCACTGTTAGCACTTTGACATTTTATTCCTCGCCTACACTGGTGATCCTTGTCGATCCTTATTTCTACATCGTTGGAATCCTCTACGTTTTCACTTCAATTCCCATTAAGTAAAACATGCAAAAGGTAGTGTTTAATTAGCAGCATAACTCCTCAAGATCTGAGCATCATCAGGTTTATTTTAAGTAGAATTTTCGGTAGTTCAATTTAATAATTTCATTTCAATCAACATAATCTTTTACAGAGCCTGTTCCAAACAATTGTTTAGGCATCATAGAGCGCAAGCTTATCTATAATATTATTCCTGGTCTTGTTTTTATATTCCTTAGCCCAGTCTGGGAATGATTTCATTTCGGGAATGACGACCATTCCCCAGCTAATGCTATTCACAAATACCAAAAAGAGTCCCCAGAATGTAGGCAATAAGCCAGCTCGCATCTGCAAAAGACAGATAAAGCTCCATAGAGTAAGAGTTTAAAAAGAGATTTCAGAACTTACCAAATATTTGGACTTGATGTT